ATAAAAAATGAATCAACATTGGAAATACATCAACTACACTAGAATACCTAACAAACCTAAGAAAGTAACTCAACACTTGTTGGGATAAAAAACTTAGCACCAGAGGGACTGAAATTTATATATACATATTTAATGTTATTAACTTGCTAGATATAACTAATATTGAGGAAATTTCAAAATTCTAAATTAATTTTTTTTTTCTGATGTGTAGATTTACTAAAGGATAAAGAAATTATTATAATCAAGTTTTAACATGGTTGTAGAACTTGAGCATCATGAGAATGTTATGAATATATTATATTATATTATATTATATTAAAAATAATTAAATTTGGATTTTTTTTTTAAGTTTTAGAATATGAATGTTTGAGTAGTATCTAGATATACTACTATTATTCTAGATTAAATAGTATTTTAAAATAAAGAAATCATTCAAAATATTCTAAAATAACTCTCTTTGTAAAAATAGTTATAGATTGAACTTAAGAAAATCATCAATTTATTTACAATATGTTGGTACATAATTATCTTTTCAAGTGAAGTTTTTATCTTTTAAAATTTAACTATATTTGTAAATCTAATTGGATTAAGAAAAAAGCTTTGTTAATATATTTATAAATATAATTAATTATAACAATTAATTTACCAATAAATTAACTATGTCTTTTAAGAATAAAGTAAAACTTTTTATTAATCTCATTTGCTACTTCTTGCTGACAGCCAATAAAGACCTTAGTTTGCATAACAATAAATATTGGGAAGTCTTCAGCAGCAACATTGATGTTTCGAGTAATGTTAGCTCTATTTTTTAAAAAAATTATATATTCTTATCATAAAATATATACTCATTCTTATGGACTATCTCATTAAAGATAATTCAGGTGAATATTAATATGATAACTACTATTATAAAGAGTTACTTTGAATGTGTATATTACTATAAAAAATATGAGTATCTAAATTATGCAATTCGTTCGAAGAGTAAGACAACTAAAGTTGTCTTTTTAAATTCATATGATAATATATATTATATAAAAAGACATCTACTTTAAAGGAAGAGTGCAACTACTAATTTAAAGAAAAAATTTATCCATAGAGAATAAAAAGTTACCATATAAATTTTATTGATAAAAGTAAAAGAACATGACATCCTATCAACATGTAGTGTATGAAGGTTTAGATATCACAATAAAGGTACCTGAGCAATGGTGACTTCAATGCAAATTTTAAAAATTATGAGATTCAAGGTTAAGTCGATTTCTGAGCATTTGAATAAAATAACAAATGCACAATTTTGTTTCAAGCCAAAGGAAGTGGTATGGCAAAAAGACAATACGAGTTTCCACAAGAAATTGATGTGCCAACAGCTAATAGCAAAATCCAAGTTTACCAACTTCAAGAGCGTCAAAGAATGATTAATCAAAGTTTGGATATAAGATCCACTGTTAATACAGACATGGGTTGGCTGGATTTTCTTTTAGAGAAAAGGTTTGTTGGATATTTAATAACAATGCTTGTTTTATATGTCAATGCTTTGTTTGTTTTCTGTTCCTCAGATAATTTGTTTGCTTTCTAATTTCTCCAACCTATTTGAATCTTTATGATGAGAAATTCTGTATAGAAATATAATTAGTTTGCTGTGTTATTATTTATTAACAATTTAACAAAACTTGTTGTGTCAGTTAAATATTTTACTAAACTATTAGTAAAAAGGTAAAATTACCCAAAATAAATTACAGTGTTAATTAATATAAATTACCTGATAATGAAAACAATCATTCACAAGTCAATGGTCAACACAGGAAATGTGACTACTATAAAATAAAACAAATAGAAAATTGCCCCATGTGCATACTGATGAAGTTTCATGTTAAAAATGGAGCCCAAGGCTTGTTTATTTATTTTTGATTTCGTGAAGAGTGGTGAAAAAGTCTACAAGAAAAGACTTTGATAATGCGGACAGCCATTCCCAAGTCAATAGTCAACTAACAAAATGTGAAAACTATAAATAAAAATAAATAAAAAATTAGCCGACCATTTTTTTTCAGCAAAATTGTCCCATTATTTGCGCATACTCATAAATGGATAATTTATTATACAAGAAAGACAAATGGGTTGGCTATTGTAATGTATATTGGTCTTGGAGATTGGGTGTGCAGCATGTTTGCTCTCTGATTCCACAAAATCACCTTAACTATAGTGAGATGAGACCTGGGCAGGTGAAGTATTAACCCCTGAACCATCGGCTCTGCTAGCAGATTAGTTAGTTGTCTTTCGTTGAGGTACGTTCTTGCTCTCTTTGGATTTGTTTGTTTCCTTGGAAAGCAAGCTTAACTTTCCTTCTCATACTATCCGGGTGCTTAAGGATCTTTCCTTGGTTACCATTTCAAGTTTTCTTTGTTGTTTCTGTTTTTTACCTGCACCACTCTAATTCTTGTTCACTATGCTCCGTTTCTCTTTTTTCACTTCTACTTTTGGTAAACCTTCAGATTGTTTGGATTGTAAGATCGGCTTTGGATTTGATCTTTTTTCAATTGTCTTCATGATAGAATTTTGGGGTTA